AAAAAAAAAAAGACAAGAACATAGAATAGACCTGACCTGCCATTGGGAGGGGTGCCAAAGAATTTGCAGCCTTGTTTAATCTACCACGGCAAGGATGAGAATCCAGATTGTAGTCATGACACCGTATTGCGTCTCAGCTAGTACACTGCCAGGTGCGTTTCTCAACCACTGCATTTATCTTTGTGTGAGAGTGACTAAACCATGAGCTCCTTGAGAGCAGGGATCTTGCCTTTTACATCATGGTGAGGCACAGTGCCCACCTAAGCATAGCTGATGATCCATAAATGCTGGAGGAATGAATGACACAGAGCTGAGTTCTACCCCTGGCTCTGCTTTGAAGCAACTCTATTAGCCCAAGCAGGATATTGAACTACTCTGGGCTTTGTTACCTGTGCAGAAAAATAAGGGGATGGGATTACATGACCCCTGTAGTCTTCATTTCCCCAGCACTACCATTTATCAGTGTCCTTGGGCTGCTATAACAAAATACCATAAATCAAGCAGGTGAAACAACAGACAGTTGTGTTTCCCAGTTCTGGAGGCCGGGAAGTCCAAGACCAAGATGTCTGATTTGGTTCCCGGTGCGAATCCTCTTCCTGGCTTTCAGACAACCACTTCTTGCTGTATTCTCATATGTTGGGGTGGGGGAAGGAAGGAAGGAGAGAGAGAGAGAGAGAGAGAGAGCATGAGCACGTTCACAAGAGCTCTGGCCCCTCTTCCTTTTCTTATAAGGAGACCAATCCTGCCCTGGGGCCTCTACTCTTATGACCTCATCTAAACCTAATTGCCTCCCAAAGGTCCCACATCCTAATACCATGACATCGGGAGTTATGGCTTTGACATAGGGATTTGGGAGACACTGTTTAGTCCATACCAACGATTCTACAAAATCTACTCAGGCTAACTAATTGAAAAATAAAGAGATCTCAGATAGGAGTCTTAATGAGAGGAATCCAGGAGAGTGAAAAGAACGGAGTAGAGGAAAGGATTGTTCTGTTGAGAAGAACAAAGGATGCGGTCAAGAAGACGGTTGGATTTTAGGCTCAGACGCAAATATTGGAATTACGTTGGTGGCACTTGGACCAGAAGGAAGGAATCTCATGGAGGCTCTTTCAAAAGTTGAGGACTTGGGAGCTATTAGGCCACAAGGGGTAGGAGAGATTTATAAATCAAAGTGCGCACCGCATTTTGTATCTGGGTGATGAGGGAATGCTGGTTTATCTGGCATCAGCAGTGGTTCCCAACTGTGACTGTACAGAGAATTATCTGATGAGCTTTTCAAAAATGCTGATGCCTGTATTTTTTAATACAGCCTCCTTCTGATAATATGGATCCTCCCAAGACCACTCAGTTGAGGTTTTCTGGAGATGGGACTGGAGCATCACTATTTTTCAAAGACTGGCTGCACGGCGATTCCACTGTGCAGCCAGGGCTGACAATTTCTAATTAGAGTTAGTTAAAGGCACTAGATTTCTGGCTGTGGTGGAATGATGAGAAAGTGAGGATTGAAAGCCGACAGCCACCAAATAACTTGGGATGTGGGTTGTATGGTATATAGATTATGACTTCCCAAAGATGTCCACATCCTAATCCTTAATAGCTGTGAATAGGTTAGGTTTTATGGCAAGGGGGAATTAAGGTTGCTAATCAGCTGGCCTTAAAACGGGGAGATTATCCTGGAGTATCCAAATAGGTCCAATGTAATCACAAGGGTCCTTAGGAAGAGGAACAGGAAGGTAGAGGCAGAGAGGCAGAAGGAGAGGTGGCTATGAGAGCATAGTCAGAGAGATGCAACATTGCTAGCTTTGAAGATAGAGGAGGCACCTTGAATGAAGAAATGTGGGCTGCTTCTAGAAACAGTTTTCAAGAAAACAAACAGAAAAAAAAATTTTTTTTAATACTACTACTAATAATAATACTAACAAAAAAAGATTCTGCCCTAGAGCATCCAGAAAGGAATGCAGCTCAGTTGACCTAAAACCTTGATTTTGGCCTGGTGAGACCTGTGTCAGACTTCTGACCTACAAAACTGCCAAGTAGATCCATGTTGCTTTAAGCTGCTGAGCGTGTGGTCATTTATTACAGCAGCCTTAGGAAGCTAATACATGTGGTCAGTTGGAGGAGGTAAATGTTGATGCACTTTTGCAGGGGCCTTGTTGGTGGAGGAGAAACTCTGAGAGAGAGGTGTTAGAATTGCAGTCTTATCGGGATTTTTTTTTTTTAAATCTCAGGGCTGTAGCATACCTCCTCAGAAGGTTTAAAATCAAAAGTCAAAGGAATAGGCTATTATGTGTGTCACTAAATTCATCAATGGAGTCAGAGGCAAGAAATTCCTGGAAACTTTTCGCAGCAGTATTGCTTGAATCGTGATCAACTTCACTGATCTAAAGGCTGACAAAACACTTGTTTTACCTGGATGGTTTTGAATTACTTAAGTCCCCGAAGAAATAGATAGGATCTGCAGCCTTGTCACAGCTCATCACCGGAATGTAAACCGGAGCTTAATATTCCTATCGCTCTCCTCTAATCAGATCTCTAGACTCTGCTGATGTTTTTTCATTGGGTCCTCCTGAATAAAAAAATAATTGGATAATCACACACACGCGCCCCCCCCCCCCCACACACAGAGCATATGAGAGATCAAAGAACCTCCCACATGTACATGTATTCACTAAAGTGCTTTTATTGGGGATTTATATATGACATGACTTGTGTTAGGGATTCATCAATGAATGTGACAGGCGAAGTCCTGGTTCTCGTGGAGCTCACAGCCTGGTGGAGAACACAGACAAGTAATTGGGTGAGTTAGAGTGGAGCAGAAAATACAGGTTGCTATAAAACAGGCAACTGGCTCCGTGTAGGAGTGGGAAAGAAGGATATGTCCAGGGGAGGGGCTTCCTGGGGGAAGAGAATTTCTAAGCGGTATCAGCAAACCCTGGATACCTTTAAAAATGGAAATTCTCAGGCCCGTGAAGCCAGACCTATTAAGCCTGAAATCCTGGGGATGAGACACCAAGATCTCTGTTTTATTACATCTCTGAGTGGTTTGGATACACCCTGAAGTTTGAGAACCAGAGGTCATACCTGGGCTGCACATAAGAATCACTGGGAACACTCCTACCACTGTTGCGGTGGCCCCTCTCCAGAGACATTGACTCAGTCGGTCTGGGAATAGAGCATAGGAATTAGTAGTTGTAAAGCTCTGGATGTTATAATGTGATTTCAACACGCAGTCAAGGTTGAGACCACTTCTCTAAGCTGGCAGCTGAGGCATGAGTTAGCAGGGCCGTGGGAGCTGGTGAGAGGGCAGGAAGGGTATTACAGCCTATGTAAGAGAAAGCCTGAGGTTCCTAGGACTTGATAAGGCTAGAGAATACACACTGCAAAACTCCATGGCTTAAAATAGGGTTCAAACTTATACACGTGTTTATTGCAGTAGTTTTAAAACTTTAATGTGCATAGAAATTATCTGAGGATCTTGTAGGACACAGACCCTTATGCAGTAGGGAGGTTCTGTTGCCCCCGCTCTCCCTGAGCCTGCACGTCAGAGAGTGGATGGGGACTGCAGAGGTATCTATGCTTCAGCCCAGGACCAACATAAGGACACCTCGCCTGGGGTGAATCGTGGATGCCCGTTGCTGGGTGGGTATGTTGTGAGGGTAAAAAGAAAAGATGCATCCTAGCACAACCTCCCAGCCGGCTCTCCTGATTATTTTCCATCAAGGTCGTACTGCTTTTAGCTCAGCAATAACCCCCCACCTCCAATCTAGCTGAGTGCATCCCCCGGCCAGGCCCGCAGAGCCAGCTCATTAAGTGGCCGCTGGAGCTCTCTGTAACGTGCCAGCCAGCCAGGGAGGCGCTGGCCGAGGAGGGGGGCTCTCCGGGGACCTCTTTTCCCTCTCTCCCTCTTCCCACCTCCTCTGGCTGACAGCGGCGGTGCCTGCGGCAGAGCCTCCCTATGCAGCAGCCCCTTGCACTTGGCTCGCACTTCTGGGCGCTGTCCATGGTTGCAGCATCTTTCGGCGCGCCACGTCAGGAGGCCGCAGCGGGGCCCTGCGATTGGCGGAGGAGCCCCTCGCCATCCCCCAACACCCCCGCCCTCGCGCCCGGCCCGGAGCCCCGGCCCCCGAGCCCCGGCCCCGCAGGCGCGTGCCAGTGAGCGCGCGGGGCGCGCCCTGGGGCTCCCGGGCGGCACACCCACTTTCCTTATTAGGGCAGAGTCGACGCCCAGAGCGGGCGGCCGAGCGCGGGGGTGGGGCAGGGAGCCCAGGAAGGCGACAGCCGAGGGCGCAGCCACAGCCTCAGCCGCCTCCGAGCGGCAGGAGGGAACAGCGGTCGCTGCGCTCCGGCCAGCCAGTTTCCCGAGACCCCGCTTCTCTCCGCGGGGCAGAGATCTTCCTCTGTGCCCCGCCGGGTACCCCTAGTCCAAACGTCTCTCAACGACATGGAAGAATTTTTGCAACGCGCCAAATCTAAACTGGTAAGTTGGGGGAGCAAGGCTGTGTGCGTGCGTGTGTGTACCTGTGGTGTGTGTGTGTGTGTGTGCGCGCGCGCCCGCGCGCGCTGATGAAGGGGAAAGGGCATTGCAGCAGAGGAGGAAGAAACAACTTTGCCACTTAGTTGTCAGGGTGTGTGGGCTAAGCCTGGAAAGAATCTTTGGAGCTCGGGTCCTTACGGCTAGCAGTCTGTCTCCAGAATCCTGCCCCCGCAAAGTGCTGAGCTGGGGGTGGTCGTGGCCTGACAGAAGTTGGGTCCTGTGTGCCCAGTTTTGGTTCCTTTGGCCTGAGGTTGGAGAAAGGTACGTCCAGCCAAACTTCAATTTGCGTCTGAAGGCTAGAGGGTTAATGGGTGTGGTGCTCCTTTGGAAAAAAGAGCCCAGCCTTCTGCAGATGCAGTACCTGTAAGTGTAAAGCGGGAGGGGGGTGGGGTGGGGAAGAAACCCTTAGAACTGTACTTTAGCCGGAGGCGGTGGCAAAGCGTAAGAGAGGAAGTTAGGGTGCCGCTAGGAAGGACGTTCCTGCGAATGCGCAGTTTACCCAAGCGTCCCCCACAAAGAGCTTGCTCCAGGGCAGAAGTAAGGGATGATCTCGTGTGACTCATGTGCCTCTCCCGTCCCTGTTCAGGTCCCTGTTCAGGTCCCTGTTCAGATCTGTAACTTGGGTAGAGGCAGAAGGGGAAAACCCCAACTGTTGCTGCCGATGTGGGGGTTGCCCGACTATTGTTCTCTTGGGAAGAGACCAGCATGTTGGCGGGTACCACTGAACCACTGTCCAAAGAGTGAACTGTAATTTTATTGTGTGCGTTTACAGTTGCTACACATTCTGGAACAGATTCTAGCGGCTTCCTAATTCCAAACTGTTTTGGCTCTCCAGCATAGCAGTAATAAACATAATGGGAATGTTTCTGTTTCAACACTTAGGAAAAAGCCTCCGCTCATTTAGAAGCAGTATCTTTCGTGAACAGTGAAAGTACGTTTTATGGGCCTGGCAGAGGAGGAAATGCATAATTTATGATGCCTTTAACCTTTAAACCTTCAGAGAAGACAAAATACAAAGTCACCATTAAGGTGACGTCTTAATCACAAGGCAGGGTAGTTGCAGGATTGTTACAGTCCCTCATTTATCTTTGCAACAACAAAGGGAGCGCAGACCCAAGTCTTACACTGATTTAACTCTAAGTATCTTTTACAAGACATGAGAGTTGATTAATGCTAAGGTAAGTAGTAAGTATTTTGTTTTCTACCTCAAGTGCCCCAGAGACTCAAACCATTGTGGGGATTTCAGAAAGTTTGTGGTCATTTGTGTGTTTATTACTGACCCCCTTATAGTGTTACGTGAGCACTCGCACTCACTTGCACTTCTGATAGCGTGAGTAAACTCCCTGTTCTTTACCTAATGATGAGGGAGAAACGGTCAAAAAGAAGTCGATCGTGACAACTTATTTACTTGTTTGTTGTTGTTGTTGTTTGTTGGTGGTGGATGAGAATGATTGGGCATCAGTGAAACACATCGATTTAGACTGCACCTGTGTTTCACTCCTGAAACATTTATTTTAACAATAAACATTTAGATTGTGGGGTCTGATGTGAGCAAGAGATCTGCCTCATTTCTTTTTTTTTTTTAATGTTTTCATTTATTATTTTTGAGACAGAGAGAGGCAGAGCATGAACAGGGGAGGGGCAGAGAGAGAGGGAGACACAGAATCCGAAGCAGGCTCCAGGCTCTGAGCTGTCAGCACAGAGTCCGACGCGGGGCTTGAACCCATGAACTGTGTGCCGAAGTCGGACACTTGACCGACTGAGCCACCCAGGCGCCCCTTGCCTCATTGCCAAAGAACAATTGCAGGCCTGGAAAAATTCCCTGTTTCAGAGCAATCAGTGGAAAGTAATGGGTAAGTTTATTTACCGAGTCCCTTCATTAGACGAGCAATTTGCTCTCTATCATTAAAAAAAAGACAGGAAAGAGAAGTGGTTGTTTGAAATACTGTTTCTAGTTTCCTGTGTTAGCCAGAAGAACAATTACTGCTAATTTTATTTTTTCTTGGAATAGGTTTCTTGTTAGACTCTCAAGGAGCCTTTCGTATTGAGCCACAGGAAAGGTGTTCTGGTCACTTTTGGTGTCACATTGGCCCTGACAAATGATCTTTTCCAGGACAATAAAACTTTTACCTAATTGCAACATTCACTATAGTTCAAGATAACCTTTCGTTTTAGATGACAGATGATCTTTGTTTTGGAGAAAGAAATTAAGTCCGTAATTATGACGTTCATTTGTGGGCACATTCATAATCAATTAGTAAGATTTTAAAAAATCAGGCTAATACTTCAGAAAGCATTTGAAGGAGAAGAAACTATGCTGGCCTCATTAGGCCAGAATTAGATAGAACTGAGGTGTTTTCCATCAGAAGTTAATACAGGCTTATCCCTATGATACCTTTATTTTTTTTTTTTTTTAAATTTTTTTTTCAACGTTTTTATTTATTTTTGGGACAGAGAGAGACAGAGCATGAACGGGGGAGGGGCAGAGAGAGAGGGAGACACAGAATCGGAAACAGGCTCCAGGCTCCGAGCCATCAGCCCAGAGCCCGACGCGGGGCTGGAACTCACGGACCGCGAGATCGTGACCTGGCTGAAGTCGGACGCTTAACCGACTGCGCCACCCAGGTGCCCCCTCTATGATACCTTTAAAGAATCTAATTGACAGGTTGTTTTCCTACCTACTTGATTTCTCGCTTTGCTATTCTGTAATCATGATGTGTATCTTTCAACGGTTTGAAATTGTCAGTGTTCTTTCCAAAGTCCTAACATAACCTCACCCACCACTGGAACTAGCTAATTCCAATAGGCAAGGGAAGTTTTGAATTGCAACCATTTGGCATTTGTTAGTCCTAGAAAAAATTTCCAATGATCAAAACTTGGGAGGCATTGTGCGTCTCTTTGCCTCCTGACCAGGAATATTTATTATTCATCTGTTTTTGTGAGGGGAGCATCAGCTTTCCCATTCTAGTCCAGGCCCTTGTGTTGAACGGAGATCTTTGAAGGGGGAGGGATGTTTTTGAATTTTTATCCGGTAGTTTCGGGCTTGCTTCTGTTGAAATTGGGAGAGCATGCCGTCAAACCTTTTTCATCCTAGTCTGGTCCGGCTGATCCTTTAGCTGACGCATGTTCGCGGACGTAATCCCAACCCCTCCCCCCCAAATCTCTCCTTCTGATACACACCCTTCCTTCCTGAGAATATGCTGTGTTCATCAGAAGTGGCAAAAGCAGACCCCAAGTGTGGCCTCAGAGGGATCACTTCTTCCTGGTTCTCCAATGGTTCTCTAGGGGGCCTGCCTTCTGCCTGGTTGGTACATGCTTGGGTGCCCGGTTCTGCTTGGTAAAGAAATCTTAGCTGACTGGAGGGCAGCAAGAGAAGTCGTCACTTATTCCAAGCATAGTCTTCTGAGATGGCACCTCCCTGACAAATACAGAATGACGAGTAGGAGAGGGAGACAATGATGGTTAAACAATCAAGCCAGCAGAGAAGCCAGGATTCACTCCCCTGATGTGAGCTCGCAGCTATGTCTCTGGGGTGGACACTCATTGCTAGAACTGGAAATGAGAATAAAAACACACTTTCTTTTTTTTTTTCCTGCCAGGGCCCACCTGGCTTTTCTTCCACCTGCCCATTCAGAGCCTGGAAGAAGGACAGAGATCAAGTCCAATAGTTCCAGGCTTGTCCTGAAGTTTTAGCTATGCTCTCCTTTTTCAGTTATGCCGTTTCTATGGTGGTGTCTTATTCTTAGTCGTAGCATTTCTGTGGTAAGAGAAATGGAGGGAGGGTAGGGAATAAGGCTCCCTGCCCTAGACTGTGATTTGGGAAATGTCCCTCCATTTCATGGCGATCGGCTCAGAAAAGCACTCAGGCCAAGATGACCTCATGATGGCAGTAAATGGTCCAAGTTTCTATGAACTTTGTGTGTGGGGGGGGTGGGGGGGGGTGAAATAAATGAAGAATCAGAGCCCTGGGGTTCAGGCTGATGGGAAACCAAGGTCCCCACACTTGTGGGCTGGCTACCGAGCCTCTTACTGCCTGGATCCCACCGGCTGATTCAATTCAAGCAGCTGCTAATGGGTTGGGGTGGGGGTGGGGGGTCACTGCAGTCCACCTGCCCTATGATGTAGCTCACCAGTCAGCCTTGGGTATGTGTGGGGGTGGGTGGAGGAGTGTCAGCTGCCGCAGGATGGATCCAGGCCACGTTAATGTCTCAGGAATGCTGTTTTCAAAGAAAGGGTGGGGATAGGGCGGCCACGACAGTCTGAGGGATACATCTCTCTCTTCAGCAGCGACAGCTGCAGGTGAAGTGGTCAGTTCTGCAGTGGGCATTAGTGACCATGGGGACTTCTACAGGAGAACAGTCCTGGGTGACCTGAATGTCAACGTGGACTCTGTGCTGTGTGGCACAGGGACAAGAAAGCACATTCGAAAACTCTAAAAGAACGACCGCATTAGAGTTGTAGAGGAGGTGGGGTTTTTTTAAAAAAGAAAGAAACACATTGCCGTGCGTCTACAGAGGCATCATCTTGACGCTGGAGGAATCTATTCCTGATTCTTTTATGGGAAGAAGAGCTGTCCATGTTGCAGATGACTGTTGCAGGTATTGGAGGGGGCCGCTGTGGAAAGGGCTAGGGGTGATGGAACTGCCGCCACAGCAGTTTCACTTGGGGAGCTGAGCTCATTCTGACCACAGGCCACGGGATCAGCTCTCTCCCCATCCATAAGCGAGGGCTGGTGCACTTGAGACTTTGCCAGAGCCTTCCAGAGCAGGGAAGGAGACTCGGGAATCCAAAGCACTTCTGTGAATGTGGTGCCAGTCCCTTCAGGGCTGATGAGGAAAAAAGCCCACGATCGATAGCTTTAGTCCTGGAGTCAGTTGTATTTCTCACTGCCGCAGCTTTCAGACCCAGGGCTGTGGGTTATCCAGCCCCGGGGCCTGCAGAGA